GCCACAGTAAATGGGATACAAATGTTCCATGGAATAGAACAGATTTGGAGAAGATGCAGACATTCCCAATTATGGCTCATTTCTGTCATTTAAATTGACACACATCATTGCACACTGCTATTGTTTTTTCTTCTTCTTTTAAACTTTTATCGATTTGATCACCTTTTTTTTTTTCTTGTTTCCAATGGCTAATGTTTAAACTGTCTGTTTTTAATCTACACACTGCCTTCATTGTAAAGGTGTGACTCCAGTTCGTCCTCCCATACCGGTGATTCCCCAAGTTGGTCTAGTGAACCCGGTACTCGCATCACCTCCTGTGCTGTCTAACCAAGCTGGTGGCTCAAACCAACAAGAGAAGAAGGAAGAGAAAGAGGAGACGCTTCAGGATGGTACAGGCCAGGAGATGTTAAGTGACCAGGAGCACATGAGCATCTCGGGGAGCAGTGCCAGGCACATGGTGATGCAGAAGTTGCTCCGAAAATCAGAGGTGACATACGCTTGTGTCTGCGAGTCGTTTGTAACAGAAATTATTTTTGTACCGACTGATTTCTTTTCTCGTTTCAGTCCACGGTGATGGTGCTTCGGAACATGGTAGGACCAGAGGACATCGACGACGACCTGGAGGGCGAGGTGACGGAGGAGTGCGGGAAGTTTGGCGCGGTCAACAGAGTCATCATTTACCAGGAGAAGCAAGGGGAGGAGGAAGATGCAGAAATCATAGTCAAAATCTTTGTAGAGTTTTCGGCGGCCTCTGAGATGAACAAAGCTATCCAGGCCCTGAATGACCGCTGGTTCGGAGGTCGCAAAATCGTCGCAGAAGTGTATGACCAAGATCGTTTTAACAGCAGTGACCTTTCTGCGTAACGTGTTAGAAATGGCTTACCAGCACCCGTATCATTCACCTGTCACCAAAAGTCATTTCAGCCATCCTCTCTGCAGCTAGAAGATGCGGGGTTCTGAAACCTGTAATTATATTTTTATTGTCATCTTTTTTTCAAATTGCTGTTAATAATATTAAAGTTCCATTGGGGGGGGATTTAAATAAAATACTTATCATTTTTTTTTATTTTTCTTTCCTGCTTTATCTGTAAAAACTCCCGTTTGGTGCAAGTTTCAAATTTTTGTAATCTGATCTTGTACTATGTTTAGTTGTTTTTTTTTTTCTTTTTTTTTCTTCTCCTGCTTAGCTCCTTTGTTATCTGTTTTTAAATTGCCGGGACATGTAAAACACTTTTTTCTTTCTATGATTAAAGGTTATCGTTTGTCCACTAAAAAGTTGTTTTTTTGTTTGTTTGTTTTTTTACATTCAGTACAAAAAAATCCTGTATTTATTTGAAAGATAATAGAACTAAGCATTTTAAAAATATTTTGGTGTTGAAAGTAGTGTTTGGTATATTAGATTTTTGGGAGGAGGGCATCATCTAGAAAAATTAACCATGTTGATTTAAAATTGCCATACATGGGTTTTCAACAAATCCTGCATACGGTATATATATTTTGATTGTTGAAAGTCAGCCTAGTAAAAAGGTAATTTTAAGATATAGTCCATAATCTTTACCTGACTTTAAGATAATCCTTCACTGATAGATTTGAGGGTCTTCTAGACTAGGGGTTCTCAAAGTGGGGTCTCAAGATAGTTTTTGAGTTATATGGAAGGCCAAAATCAATAACGATAGGCAGAAATGTGTCAGAGACAAATGGTTTACCTTAGAGTATGTGGATTTAATGTGGTTTTTATCTGATGATATAAATATGCCTTTAGTGTATAATGCACATTTTAATTTCTCATTAAATGATTTTTTTTTTTTTTTTTATCGAAAATGAATAAATGTCAATTAAAAAATACAAAGATGAAGTTAATTACTTGACTTTACAAGTGTATTAATAGATGTAAAGTATATTTTTAGGGGGTAGTTTCTCTTGTTCTTGGAGTCGCCGACTGAAATGTTTGTTGTAGAAATGATTTAAAATGTAATGTTCCCAACGCTTGAAACAATACAAGCAGGAATGAAAACCTATTTTACTTTTGGTAATCAAATCCCTCTTTTTATAAAAATAAATGAATAAAAAAAGATAAATACTTTACACTTTACAATACAGCACTATAACTGCAATACCTTGTGCAATAACTAATGTGCAATCACTATATATATATAAATATATAAATTACCTATTTATATAAATACCCTGTGTAATACTCCTGTTAAGAGATTTAATATGTTGTGTGTATATATATATACACTCACCGGCCACTTTATTAGGTACCCCATGCTAGTAACGGGCTGGACCCCCTTTTGCCTTCAGAACTGCCTCAATTCTTGGTGGCATAGATTCAACAAGGTGCTGGAAGCATTCCTCAGGGAGTTTGGTCCATATTGACATGATGGCATCACACAGTTGCCGCAGATTTGTCAGCCGCACATCCATGATGCGAATCTCCCGTTCCACCACATCCCAAAGATGCTCTATTGGATTGAGATCTGGTGACTGTGGAGGCCATTTGAGTACAGTGAACTCATTGTCATGTTCTAGAAACCAGTCTGAGATGATTCCAGCTTTATGACATGGTGCATTATCCTGCTGAAAGTAGCCATCAGAATTTGGGTACTTGTGGTCATAAAGGGATGGACATGGTCAGCAACAATACTCAGGTAGGCTGTGGCGTTGCAACGATGCTCAATTGGTACCAAGGGGCCCAAAGAGTGCCAAGAAAATATTCCCCACACCATGACACCACCACCACCAGCCTGAACCATTGATACAAGGCAGGATGGATCCATGCTTTCATGCTGTAGACGCCAAATTCTGACCCTACCATCCGAATGTCGCAGCAGAAATCGAGACTCATCAGACCAGGCAACGTTTTTCCAATCTTCTATTGTCAAATTTCGATGAGCTTGTGCAAATTGTAGCCTCAGTTTCCTGTTCTTAGCTGAAAGGAGTGGCACCCGGTGTGGTCTTCTGCTGCTGTAGCCCATCTGCCTCAAAGTTGGACGTACTGTGCGTTCAGAGATGCTCTTCTGCCCACCTTGGTTGTAACGGGTGGTTATTTGAGTCACTGTTGCCCTTCTATCAGCTCGAACCAGTCTGGCCATTCTCCTCTGACCTCTGGCATTAACAAGGCATTTCCGCCCACAGAACTGCCGCTCACTGGATGTTTTTTCTTTTTCGGACCATTCTCTTAAACCCTAGAGATGGTTGTGCGTGAAAATCCCAGTAGATCAGCAGTTTCTGAAATACTCAGACCAGCTCCTCTGGCACCAACAATCATGCCACGTTCAAAGCCACTCAAATCACCTTTCTTCCCCATACTGATGCTCGGTTTGAACTGCAGGAGATTGTCTTGACCATGTCTACATGCCTAAATGCACTGAGTTGCCGCCATGTGATTGGCTGCTTAGAAATTAAGTGTTAACGAGCAGTTGGACAGGTGTACCTAATAAAGTGGCCGGTGAGTGTGTGTATATATATATATATATATATATATATATATATATATATATATATATATATATATATATATATATATATATATATATATATATATATATATATAGACGCACTGTACTTACTGTATATACCCCCATGCACCTTTTCGACTATTAAGCCGATGTGACAAGTACATTTCTCCACTGTGAGATCAATAAATCAAATACTTATGTTTATACATATGGCTGTATACAAAATATGGAGGACCAGGGACTGAAAGTTGAGTAGCAGAATTTTATTACCAATAAGCCATAATGAAAACTGACACAAATGCTTGAAATATTTTGGTTTAATGAGTGTTTAAGATGAACGAGTTTCCCTTTTTTTCCCACTTTGTGAAACATTCACCTTTCAATAATACAGAAGAGGATTAGGGCCACTGAAAATGTAAAATAAGTTAACTGGTTTTTAAATTTTATTTCAGTATAATATGAGAAAAAAGTCATAATTCTGAATTTAGTCTCAGTATGTTTTATCTTAATGTAGATGGGCACCATGAAGGAAGGGATGTGGGAGAACTCAGCTTCCCTGACAAAGATGTGTAACATATTGGTGGAAAATTACGGAATCATGGGACGTTTTCAGAGTCAGACATACTTTATGTTTTAAGTACCCAAGGAGTCCCCGGTGATGCTATTTGATGAAGTCAGAATTCTGAGAAAAAGTCAGAATTCTGAGGAAAAAGTCAGAATTCTGAGATTAAGGTCAGAATTCTGAGATTAAGGTCAGAATTCTGAGAAAAAAATCCAGAATTCTGAGAAAAAAAGTCAGAATTCTGAGAAAAAAAAATCAGAATTCTAAGATTAAAGTCAGTATTCTGAGGAAAAAGTCAGAATTCTAAGGAAAAAAAATCAGAATTCTGAGATTAAAGTCAGAATTCAGAGGAAAAAGTCAGAATTCTGAGATTAAGGTCAGAATTCTGAGATTAAGGTCAGAATTCTGAGAAAAAAAGCCAGAATTCTGAGAAAAAAAGTCAGAATTCTAAGAAAAAAAATCAGAATTCTAAGATTAAAGTCAGTATTCTGAGGAAAAAGTCAGAATTCTAAGGAAAAAAAATCAGAATTCTGAGATTAAAGTCAGAATTCAGAGGAAAAAGTCAGAATTCTAAGGAAAAAGTCAGAATTCTATGAAAAAAAGGCAGAATTCTGAGATTAAGATCAGAATTCTGAGATTAAGATCAGAATTCTGAGGAAAAAGTCAGAATTCTGAGAAAGAAAACATCAGAATTCTGAGATTAAAGTCAGAATTCTGAGGAAAAAAGTCAGAATTTTGATATTAAAGTCAGAATTCTGACTTTTTTGTCACATTATACTGAAATAAAATGTAAAAATCAGTTAACTTTTTTCTTCTTTTCCAGTTGCCCTAATCCCCTTCCGTACAATAAACCACCTAAACTGATTCTTCAGTGAATGTACCTTGCAATAGCCGCTAGGTGGCGGTATAACGCAATCTTGCGGCCTCCGCTAAGCAGAAGTAAAGCGGCGGTACTACAGTCCAAGCCTAGCCCAGCCCCCCCACACACCAAACCGGCCTGCCTCGGCTCAACAGGAGAGGTACGCGCGGCTGTTGCTGGAGCTCCTACGCTCTGCTTGGATTCTATCAACGCTGGGGCAGACGAACACTACCTGCTCCGTTTATTTTTTTGCTATTTTTCATTTTTGTTTGGGATTTTCCCGTCACATCCATCCGCCCTGTGTTTTTTATAGCTTTTATTAACCCAGTGTCGGTTAACGGGAGGAAACCCTTCAGTCACCTATTAGCCGGAGCTGGCTAACTGCAACTAGCTTCCTGAGGACAAACGCAATCATTCCGAGTTAATCTGTGCTGACTCGTTAGGCGTAAGCCGCTTGGTCATAGCTGTTTATCCGTAACTCGGTGACTGTAGTGGTAGCCTTCAGTCGCCACCCATGACCGCGGCGGTTAGGGCAGCGGTTCTTCTCAGCGGGGGGATTTTTAGTTAGCCTCGGCGGCGGAGCTTCGGGCTGCTCCGGGGATGTTGTTGGTAGCGAAACAAGCTAACGTCGGTCGCTCAGTGTGAAGGAGGGGAGTGCTATAGGAGTGAGGCAACACTCTGTGAGGACTTAATTTCTCTGGTTTTGATGTCGCTGGGTAGAACCCGGCAATCATTAAATACTCCCGGGCAGGGGGGATACATATCGGGAACATATCGGGATTATTTGCCGTGCCTTTAAAGTTGATTTCGGCCTCCTGTTGTGGATCATCGTGGGAAACACATTAAGTATTTTGACCCTGGCTTAGTTGGAGATATCTCCCCGCCCTCCTGCTGAACCCTCTAATGCGGAGATCTCAGTAGCACCGGAATCCCCCCCTCCACGGCGGCCGGACATGCTGAAGTGTATCCCCCTGTGGCGCTGCAATCGCCACGTCGAGTCCGTGGACAAGCGCCACTGCAACCTGCAGACTGTCCCCGATGAGATCTTTCGCTACAGCCGGAGCCTGGAGGAACTTCTCCTGGATGCCAACCAACTCAAAGAGCTACCCAAGGTATGCCTGCTATTGCCCTGCTTTCTAACACCGTTCCTGATTAAGTTGTTTCGTTCACCTGTTTTAAAGCAGAGGTCACTTTGCAGGTGAAGGAGTGACGACACCCCAACGAGTCACGTGACATTTTACTTCCTTTAGATCAGGTGTTTTCTGTTCTGCTTGGTGAAGTTTAACCATTTTGCCCTCTGGGGCGACAGTGGCGTTGGATGTAGGAGTTTGCCCTGAAATCGAAGGGTTGACGGTTCAAGCCCCGACTCTGACTTTCATTGTCGTTGTGTCCTTGGGCAAGACACTTCACCTGCATTGTCTACTGATGGTGGTCAGAGGGCCCGGTGGCGCCAGTGTACGGCAGCCTCGCTTCTGTCAGTGAGCCCCAGGGCAGCTGTGGCTACAATGTAGCTTGCCACCATCAGTGTGTGAGTGTGTGCGTGAATGGGTGAATGAATGTAGTGTAAAGCGCTTTGGTCAAGTCTCCTAACTTGAATAAAGGCGCTATATAAGTACATGCCATTTACCATTTTACTTGTTACAGTTTGCAGAATATTTACTTAGATGACATGGTTTGCAAATGCATCCGCTCACCTTGAACCCTTTGATAGTGCATATTTGTAAAGGGAAACAATTGATTTAATGTGTATGCTTCAACACTAACAAGTTATTAGGGCCATTATCCAGACTGTGTGGATCTTACCTATATTCTGACTAGCTCTATTGAACAGGGTTGGGAATTGATAAGATTTTCACGATCCCGATACCTTATAGATTCTGCTATCAATTCTGGGAAACGATTCGATTCTCTTATCGATTCTGTGAAACAATGAATTTGGTAAGTGCATGGTGACATTCGTCTACCTTCGCCTGGGGCATTCTATTTCTGCCTGCCTCGGTGAAAACAGAAGGCAGTAAACGGGAACTGCCAGGCTTCCCGTTTCATCAGTCATCTGAAGGCCAATTTATACTTGTGACCTCCCCCAGTCCCCTGTGCAGAGGATCTGCAACCGTCGTCGCACACCTCAAAAAAAAGAAGAAAAGAAAAAGAATCCTGACTACCTTTTGGACGGTCGCAAACCCGTGCAGACCTTAAGCGGAAGTGCGCAGACAAAAAGCAGCTGTGATTGGTCCTTGGTTTGCCATTTCGACTGTCTGTGTGGTCGTCCTTCTCGATTCGGTGGCGGGGCGCGCCATTTTTAAAAGCCAAGGAGTAGTAACAACAATGGATAACCAAGACACAACCACTTGTACAACCTCAGGCATGTTGTTTTGGAAAATAAACGCTCCTGCCGGCGCCGCCAAAGTTCTTGTGACCATCCGCCAAAGTTCTCCATAGGCTTTCTCTTGCGCTTTGGCGGGTAACTGCTTTGCGTCTCTAGAAATTCCAGACCGACGTTGCAGAAGCATACCAGCAAAACTGGTTCATTACCAGACGTAAGTGACATTTGATGTGTGTGGTTGCAGAAGTATAATCCACCCTTTAATCTACTGGAGAAGGCATCCGTTTAATAAAAAAGCATTACTGTACAATTTTGGCAAATAAACTAATCTCCCCCTGATTTAAATAAACGAGCGTCACCTTTCTCTTGTTCCCTAATTTGCGGAGCAACTTTGTAGCAGGTTTCGTTACATCTATTGCAATAGCTAGAATCATGTAAGAATTCCACCTACCAGTAGTTCTTAATTAAACATGCTAGCAATGAAGGGCTGGTAGAGAGGTAGAAAATTGGTTTATTTTCAGAAATGGCATATGATTTACTAGGACTTACGCCTGGTTATGTCGTACTTGCTTACTGAATGCCGTGTGCGTTACTTGCGTAAAAAATGCGTCGTACGTCGTGCTGCCCAGAGCCGAGACGGCACTAGGCTCTGGTGCTGCCTGGAATCAGTAAGAGAATCGTTAAGCGAGCTCCCAAACGATGCCATGGAATCGGAACACAAAGAACCGGTTCTGAACAGGAACCGGCTTTCGATTCCTATCCCTACTATTGAATAAAGAAGTACGTCTAAAGCGTGTAGGACTGATAGAGTTTCTATGGCTGATATCAATAAATCCTCATATGCCTTTCCTTTACATCTAGAAACAGACTAACTGCAAATGATCTTTATCTCCAATAAATAGTGGGAATTGTGTGAAGCATTAACTGGTAGATTCAAATATTTGGCAAACTTTTCACATTTAAATTAGTTTAAAGTTATGGATTGCTTGCTGTTGGTGTATGATGTCAGCTGTTGGTGAAAAGCATTGGACAATATGCAGAAATGTTTAAAGGATATGAAGGGCTCATTTCAGGGGGCGACACCTTTACCATCAAAATATATTTGAAAGAAATAACTTGGCCTTTTAGGAAAAAGATAGTGTGTTTAGTTTTATGATGACTGATATATATACTTCTTCATGTATTATAAGGGAAAAACATTAGTATTTGCCTAGGACTTCCTTAAAAGAGGTTTTTAAATTTCAGCATAATTTTCCTGGTTAAATAAATGTTAAATAAGAAATAATGTAATTGTAGAGTGTGAATCCCTTTAATGTCCCACGATGGGGAAATTCATTCTGCATGTGTGGGAATTGGCTTTACAAAGAATATGATTTTTAGATAAATGTCATGATTTAATTTAGATTTTCGAATTGAACAACAAAAGTTTGAAGTAGTCCTTCCTGTTGTTTGAATGTTTCTGTTATCTTTAGCTTTTTGCTTTGAACAATTTGAATTAACCTTCATTTAAATGTTGAATATGAAGCTCCTTTTTGCTGACCCTGACAGACCAAAACAGCGGGTAAACAGGCGTGGAACCAGTTCTCAGATAGGCCGGGTTTTCTGGTGCAGAAGTCACAGATACAAGTTGAAAAATATCCAAAGTTTGCTTTTCTTGCCTATTCCAATTTATTTTAAGAGAAGGAGGGTTGCTCTTATGTCTGTATTCCCATAGCTCCCCAGACATTTGGAGCAAAATGGTTGTTTTTATTTAGTCCAGAGCATTGTTAACCTCCAGGACAATGCAGTGGCTGTGTTTGGGATCTGGTTTGTAGTCTGAATGAACAGACTGGCCCATTGCAGACCCTGGCGCTCTCTCACATTTCATTGCTTTAGCTTTGTGTTGAAAGGGACTAGTGGCACATCTGCTAATGAGGATTGTTAACACTTTAAGGTCAGTGGAGAGTGAAAGAAATGCTGGCAAAGGACTGTCTTTAGGGAGTCCTTCACAATAAAGTATATTCTTTGTGTTTGTTGTGAAACACATTTATTACAGTTAATTGTTTGGTGTCTGAAACTCCAGCTTATTACACAACAATGGCATCATTTCTTAATCTGAGATCACCTGTTTAAAGTGCTTTACATGATCAGACAGCTGATTTAACAATAGTTGTTCTGATTGTAAATGGGGTTTCCTGAGGAATAGATGTTTTCCCAGGTCTGGATAAATGTGAAAACAGCATCTTTTTATTGATTGATCTTATTCCCTTTTCCATTAACAAGATATTCTGTCCGTCCATCCGTTATTGATTCATTCCTGTTTGTGAGTTCATCTAATCGGTCCGTTCATCCATCAGTTTCTCCTTCATAGATGCATTTGCTTAGCCATACGTTGGTGTAGGATTGACAGTACTGTGCAGGTTGACATAGAAACTTTCTTTTTTCTTCTCTTATTTAGGTTTTCTTTTTTCTTCATTCATCTTCTTTCTTCCTTCAGATGTTTTTTTTTCTTTGTCCTTCCAACCTCAACTGTAATTTGAAAGATATACAAAATCAGCCCAGCTTATCAACTTAATTTTAGGGTGCGACAACTGCTATTTTTTTTTTTTTATTTCTGTCCAATTTCACTTGGAACTTGAGCTCAAAAATCTAGTGACTTAATAAGTTTGGCTCCACATTTATTACATTTGGCTAAACTGTGGAAATAATGCTCCGTGTCCTGTGTTTTGTTATGAACTGAAGATCCTTTTTTCATATTTAAAACTGCATTTGAATAGAGAGACACATTTTCTCCATAAGTCAGAAGTTTTTTACTCATTTTATATAAATTTTTCATGTTAAATTTATTTGTTGGAATATTTAGTGTTGAAAATTGCAACCTGGACATTTGGATGTTACATTTTTTTATTTTGGTGTGTGTTCATTTAAATAAGTCTCATTTTTGCCTCCTAGTTATTTGTCACTTTGGGGATTTTGGCCCAAATGCTAAAATATATAATATACTTGTTAAGTCGGATGAAGACTACAATTTAATGAGCCCTGACTTCTTTCTGCTCTGTTTTCAGCTGAATATGAAGGTTTTATAATACGGTACTCCTTTTTTTTCCTTTTTGTTGGATTTCTTTTCTGCTGCTATTTGTTGTTTACATGTACTTACATTTTAAATGTGTCGCAATCAAAAATGTGCTTGGATGGATGGAAACTGAAAGGTCAGGTGTGGAAAATGTATGAAAACCCTGCTGAATATTTTGAAATGATCGATGCTAAAAACCCAACCTGTCACTCTTCCTGTGAAACATAGACAACCAACCGGCCTTGTCTCCATGTGAAGAGGATGTTTTGAACAGCAGATGTTGATTCAAAGTGACAGACTTTCTTGTGTGGTTGCAGCAAATGTGTAGGAAGCAGACAGAGGGCGTATGGGTCCTCCCCCGTCCTCTGAGTCGGAGGAGCTTCAGAAAGGATGCAGCGTCAGGGGTCAGGCCCATGCAGAGTTTGGGACACCAGTGCTCACTACAATCAGTGGCATTACCGCTGCTAGCTCCCAACAAACCGTGCTAGTTCTTCCACACATTTGTGTGGCTCTTCCCTGTCACTATGCATTCCAGTCAGCATTGAGTCCAGACCTCCAGATATTTTTGGATGCCAGCCTAACATCCCTCTTTTGTTTGTCAGCTCGTCTTACATGTGAACAAACCAGCTTTATGTGGCAGGCGGTCCCGGACTGTGTGCCACGCTTGTTGGCTGCGACTCCTTGTCGACCATATGTCGTTGAAGGGGAGTAATCGGCTCAGAGGGGACACCGACAAA